AACGGGATCTGCAGCATTTCCAAACATTTCCGTTTTTGAGAATCAAACAGTAAAACACTCTGGAGTAGTGTGGAAGCCAGGCAGAACCACAGCAAACGTTACGCGTTTTAAAACGAAAACACTAGTGTAAACGTCGTATAATATTCCCTCTCATTGCTGTTTCAGCCATGGGGCCCAAAGCAACATATTTACTGCTGCTCATGTGCGTCGCCATCATCCTCAACAGCACTGAAGCTCAGAATCATCTACTGGGATCAATACAGCCTAAACCTGACACATTCTGTCATGATGCTCCTCGGCAGAGGTGGACTTACCCATTAGGCAAAGGTAGGCAACCGTCTTTGGCCCCCAAAAGTCAGGGGCCCCTTAAAATATTTTTCATACACGAGATGCGCATTAAGCGCGGATGTGTCTGAGTTAAACATGCTTTTTGTGTATCCTGCTTGTGGCAAAAGAAAATATCATGCATTTGAAGCTGTAATTAAATATTGGGCAACAATATGTTTGTTTTAAATGCCGCTTACTCATTTATAACGACCCAAGTAGCATCTCACTTTTTTGGTTGATATAATCCTTTGGTGTGTAAATGTATTTTCGTTTCATTATGGTTTTTTTTCAGTTTCATTTAAATGTTATAGTTAAAATAACTAAAAAATAAATGTATTTTAAAGTTTAAAATTAGACAGCCTTTGGAAAGAGTAAGCAATTGGGAGCCCAGGTTTACGCTGGTAACTCGTCAGTGGACTTTTTTCATCGTCACTAATTCAAGTTTTTATATGAATGAATCTCTGAAGGGAACCGACTGTCTTCAGAAAAGTTTTGCTGGCATTTTCATTTTATCCGAGAAAGTAGCGTTTATGAGCAGCGCGCTGCTTTTGTTTACAGACGTGACGGGAAACGGCTATATTTCTGACGTCCAAAAGCGCCTCCTACTGGTACAGAATGAATGTGCATTTTCAATAATCCAGTCTCTAATTGTTGTTCAGAGTCAGTCCAATGTGAAAACCCACCCACATAACCCTGTTTTAAAGTAATATAATAATTTATACTTCTGACTCATCCCTTTTCTTTAAAGGGGTCATATGATGCATTTTACATTTTTCCTTTCTCTTTGGAGTGTTACAAGCTCTTGGTGCATAAAGTAGATCTGTAATGTTACAAAGACTAAAGTCTCAAATCCAAAGAGATATTCTTTATAAAAGTTAAGTCAACCACGCCTACCTAAAACAGCTCGTTCTAACACGCCCCCACATGTCTACCTCACTATGTGGGAAGATTTGCATAACGCCGCCCAAATGTTCACGCAAAGAAAGAAGGCGTAACTTTTATTATCACCGTAGTATTGTTGCCGCTGCAGCCGTGTCGTGAAGACGCTGTGTGCTTCGTTGTGAACGCGAAACTACTTTGTTTGGTCTTCCAAAAGAGGACACGACTAGAAATCAGTGGTTAAGTTGTATTCACAACACTGTTCCAGAACACTTCAACCCAAATATTCAGATGTGTGCAGCACATTTGATGGAGGACTGTTTACTGATCCTGGGAGAGTAACGTTAGACTAAAATGCCGGCAGTTCTGACTCACGTAAGTACGTTTTCATTTAAAGGATTTGCCACTGATGATTCAAACTCGAGTTTTGAGCAGTGTAGAGTAGCGCTTGTTGTTTGT